GATAGAGAACAAGCTAAAAAAGAAAGTGATTTTTCTTACAATCAAGGGCCATAATTCAGGAAATTACAATTCGATATGCGCAAATATCAAAAGGAACCGAGATCTTTGGGTTATAAACTTACATTTCAAGTTTAAACAAAATCGTATAAAAATTGTGACCTCTATAGGGTCCACAACCTTGATATACCATATTTTTACGCTACTTGAGTACGAGGGGTGGCCATTTTGTCTGTCAGTTTTGGGCCGATTTTCACGAAATTCGAACTCAGTCGTCCTTAGGGTGTAACGGCGATATAATAATACATTTTTTTAAATCGGATAAAAATTATGACCTCTATAGGACCCACAAGCTACAAGCTAAAAACACGATTTTTCGTACAATCAGGGGCCATAATTCAGGAAGTTATGGTCCGATATGTGCGATTATCGAAAGGATCCGAGATCTTTGGGTTATAAACTTACATTTCAAGTTTGAACAAAATCGGATAAAAATTGTGACCTCTATAGGGTCCACAACCTTGATATACCATATTTTTACGCTATTTGAGAACGAATGGCGGCCATTTTGTCTGTCAGTTTTTGGCCGATTTTCACGAAATTCGAATTCAGCCATCCTTAGGGTTTAATGGTGATATAATAATACGCTTTTTTAAATCAGATAAAAAGTATGACCTCTATAGGGTCCACAAGCTAAAAACGCGATTTTTCGTACAAACAGGGGCCATAATTCAGGAAGTTACAGTCCAATATGCGCGAATATCGAAAGGAACTGAGATCTTTGGGTTATAATCATACATTTTAAGTTTCAACAAAATCGGATCAAAATTGTGACCTCTATAGGGTCCACAAGCTAAAAACGTGATTTTTCGTACAAACAGGGGCCATAATCCATGAAGTTTCGATCCGATACATGCCAATATCGAAAGCAGCCGAGATTTTTTTGGGATAAAGCTATATTTCAAGTTTCGTCAAAATCGGACAAGAATTGTGACCTGTATAGAGTCCACAAACAAATTGTGGACGGACGGACGGATGTCCGGACGGACAGGGGCGACGACAATATACGTCCACATGAAAATGTGGGCGTATAAAAATGTCCGTGACGTTCCGGTTATTGCCGAAATAAAAAACGACGTCAAAATATTTATTTATTCATTGTTGTAATCCAAGTTCGAGGTCTTTTCCGCGGATGTTTCAAAACACTAACAATAAATATTTTGATATCAATGTTTAGCGGTAGTTTCGTATTTTTTAATAATGGCCTGTAGTTGAATAAAATTACTATTTTCATCGCTAAATACTTCTTAGAAAACTTTAAAATAGTTTTCCGTTGCGTCAAAGAAATTAAAACCCGCGTTATGTCATATCATTTTGTTCGCCTTGATTTAAACTTTCTTCTTATATGAAAATAAAGCTAGCATATCAAATCAAACATTAGCGGAATTCCTGTAAAAGGAGTGGGGTGTCCCATGATGTCAGTAAGAAATTCCCCGGAATTTGACGTTGCGACAGACTCTAAATAGAATTTCTGGATGGACTCCTGCAGATATAACATCTATAATTGATAGAAATTAGAATAAGGGTAATATTATCATTAAAATTAATCAATATAAAGTATGAAATTGGATCATTGTAACTTATCTATAAATAGGGGTTTCAGGTCACGTGACTTTAGCGTGAAATCAGACAGCCACCGGCTGAAATATAGCCCACTTCAATCTACGATTCTGAATTACTATTTTATGTAAATGCATTACTCGCAATTGAATTGTAATAGTTTAATATCAATCTCAATATCTGCAAAGATTTAGGCTACAAAATTATCGAAATGTTAGCAAAATTACCGTTTGTTTACAGGAGACGCTCTGGGGAAAAAAAGCTGTGACGTCACGTGACTTGACATATTATAATTCAAATTATTACGATTTTAATAAATCTTAGCTGACAATAGCGTGCAGTTTTCAGTTATTATATAAAAAGTAATGGAAAATGTGATTTTTTTTACATTAAAATTTGAATTGATGAATGTGTGTGAGCATACAAAATGTAGAAAGATTTGTAAATAGTTTAACTGATACACAGTTAATGTTACTATTATTTATCAAGTTTAAGTTTTACTGAAATTTGATAAATTATATATTTAAATATTTATATGTTTTAATGTTATAAGATTAATTAAAACATGGTCAAAGTACTTCTAAAAATGAATCAGTATGGTTTTACCAGATTACCAATGCACTGCACAGCTGTATTAACAAAAACACAATTTTCGTGCCATGGTAACCAAAAGTAGCAATTGGAATGTTCAGAGAGAAAAAAAAAGTTTTTTTCAATGAGATCAGCATGAGAAACCCCTAAGTATGCATTTTCACTGCAAAATTCTATATAGTAAAGAAATGATGACATATGTGCATATCAATTAGCTGTACTTAGTCATTTTCACATAAGGACATTAAAAAAATAAGCCTTTATAGTAATAAAAACAGTCTTGTAATTTTAAGTAAAGAAACCTCAACTTCTGTTTTTGTTCTTTTATTTACAACATATACCACAAATAATTGAAAGCATGATATAATTTGGATTACTTATGATTTATTTAGAATTTATTGATGATAAATTTAGCTAAAAACTGCAATATCTGTAATAAAAAACAAAATGGCTGACATTTACTGTTAAAAAATTGATGAAAAACCCAACTTTGACACCTCGCTGTTCGCTTATTTTTTGGAGTTTTTTTTAAAGTGTGATACACCAAATTGTTCAGGTTTTTTTTGCTCTATCAAACAGTAATAAAATATCTAATTCACTTTTCTTAGCACAGATTTCATGTGGCATACCTACAATCAGGGGCCATAATTCAAAAATTAAAATTCGATATGCGCGAATATCAAAAGGAACCAAGATTTTTGGGTTATAAACTTACATTTCAAGTTTGAACAAAATCGGATAAAAATTGTGACCTCTATAGGGTCCACAACCTTGACATACCATATTTTTACGCTATATGAGAACGAACGGCGGCCATTTTGTCTGTCAGTTTAGGTCCGATTTTCACGAAATTCGAACTCAGTCGTCCTTGGGGTGTAACGGTGATATAAAAATACGGTTTTTTAAATTGGATAAAAATTATGACCTCTATAGGGTCCACAAGCTGAAAAGGCGATTTTTCGTACAATCAGGGGCCATAATTCAGGAAGTTACGTTCCGATATGCGCGAATATCGAAAAGAACCGATATCTTTGGGTTATAATCATACATTTTAAGTTTAAACTAAATCGGATAAAAATTGTGACCTCTACAGTGTTCACAAGCTAAAAACGTGATTTTTCGTACAATCAGGGGCCATAATCCATGAAGTTACAGTCCGATACATGTCAATATCGAAAGGAACCGAGATCTTAGGGTGATAAACCTATATTTCAAGTTTCATTGAAATCGGATAAAAAGTGTGACCTGTAGACAGTTCACAAACAATTGTGGACGGACAGGGGCGACGACAATATACGTCCACATGAAAATGTGGGCTTATAAAAATTATTCGTCCATGTTACAATTTAAATTGTAGTGTGTTTAACTTTAGGCTACACAAAATAAATGTCTTGTTTCTCGGGCAACTGACAGCTGAAACTGTAGGGGGGGAGGGCAGTTTATTTTTTTTTTTACCTCATTTCTGGCTAGAGGATGGTGCAAAATAAAATTTGGCTATTGTTGAAAATTGTTGGGGCGGGAGGGCGGCCTTGTATTTTTTTTTTTTTTTAATGAGAAAGTCATTACTTGTCTACAGTTTTGCTTTCAGTTATATATTATACATACTTAGAACATAAACCCAAAAATCAAGTCTACTCAAACACTGAACACTGACTGTAATGAAAAAAATTTTCCATATTTAATTCACGTAATGTAGCTTACTAATGGTAATGGTGACAACTATAATTGAAATTGGTTTAAAATAAAATTCCGTACGACTATTAATAGCCGTCCATAATAACGACAATATTTTAAAGAGTAAGCCACTGTCAGCATGTGTATCAAAAATAATCATCACGGTAAACGACACTTAGATCTAAATCTAGTATCGCTGGTTTATAATGATTGACCTAATTCCAACCATAGATAATGTTCCAACCAATGCATGTCACGTGTCATCGGGATTCGGGAAATGACTGTTTCTCAGGATATTCGGTGTGTTTCTCAGGATATTCGGTGTTCTATCTGGGGTTTATATCGAATGACTATTTAAATTTAACTAACAACTGGTCAGTAAAACCATCAAATGTGTAATCCAATTATTATTTTCCGGATTATCAAAACTACCGTTAAATGTGCTAATGACCCAGATTCTGACTAAGGTATGGTGACTATCATCGTATCGTATTCGTAGCCACAAGTTATAATAATTAACCTGTTCTACGATTCATTGTTTTATAAGTAGGATTTTTTCAAACAAGGACCGACTGAAGCCGGCAATAATGAGCCGATTAAGATCGAATGATTGAAATACAATGCATTGTTGTCAATGACTTTCGGTGTTTAACACGAATCGAATTCTAGTTCACAAGGGGAGGTAATTAAAATCACGTGATACAAAAATGGAGGTTCTTTCGATATCAATAAAAAAAGACCCGTAAATGAGCGTTTACATCTAAATCAGTTTAATACATTTGAATGGATATTCACGTATGGGGCATGTAGATACATGCGGCATATTCTTTTTATGACTTGCTTATCGATGTTTGGGCGGGCGTTACATATTTTTTATTTTTCATCAAGACTAATAAATAGGCCGCACGCGCAACCTATTTTGCGTGCGGGCGGTGCCCGAGAAACAACTTATTTTATTTGTGTTGCCTTATATTTAGAAGCTCAAAATTGGTCAATCCAATGCTCAGGCTAGCCCATATCAAATATACAAAATGAAAATGGGGATCTGTAGCTATAGTCAGATCTTCTGGTATGTCAATTACTGTTGTACTATAAAATTAGCTTCAAATTGTACTTACCAACTGATACAGACTGCTTGTTCACCTCTGTTTTATAATTAAATAATGTTAGTGCATAAGTTGATAACTGTTGAGGTTTACTTATATAAATGAAGGAAAATTCATATTAACATCTTATATTAACCAAACACACACACACACACATACATATAAATGACCTCTCACTTAAAAATTTTGACACCTGGATGATTTTTTACATACATCTATTTTTTTCCCCCCATTGGCAAGACATTCTTTTTTAAAAGAATATGATAATTTTTGAATGTTATTTCAATAATTCAACAGTTTTACAGGTAAAATCTTTGAAATATCTAAATATGTGATGAACAAATTCCTTAACAAAACAGGCAAATTATTAGTTAAGTTTACTGCCAATCCATCAAGTCTGTTAAATACAAAGGTAGAACCGTGGTCTTTACATTGTCATTCACGTAGGCTTTTTTGCATTTCACTTTCAGCATTTAGGTCTTATTCTCCAACCACAATTCAACACTAGACAAAGGAACATGCCTGAAGAAAGTAAAGCTAACTATGGTAATTATAATCTTTTCATTATCAACATTTTGCATTTATAGAAATTTGTATTGGTATTTGATCAAAGGCCACTAGAAGTTGTCAATGTAAATTGTTGTAATTCAATGGGCTTATATGATGCAGATAAATATCGGATGACAAGTTTTGTTCACAAGACTTTACAAAATGAGGTAATTATCAGAAATTGTTGAAATTCAATAGGCTTTTCACTAAATGTTAATAAATTAAAATATATATAAATATAAGCATTGCTTATAAATTTTAAAACAATCGGAAATGAAATCAAAATGGGGCTCAACATTCTACACAATGAACATGGGCAGTGCGCTATGAGGGAAAGTTTTTTACCCAGACATCAATGTTTCCGTCAACTCTTCTTCGGCACTGCAACTGCCAAGTGTTATTTTACATGCACACACAGCCAATGTGTACCAGGCTATAAAATCCTGAGGAACTTTCTCGATCCTATGAACTCCAGGTTAGTGAACCAGTGCCTACTGAGTCCCTGTTGTCCCCCAAATCAATCAGTAATTATCGATTTCTTCAGATCATCAGGCAATCGGAAGATTAAGCATCTTGAAGACCAACAAAGACAATAACCGTGGAAGAAGTTATTGGAAAAAATTGAAAAGGAATAGACTTTTTTGTATAGTGAAAAAAAATATAAAAAGACTAATTATTGGATTGACACTGTCTAAACTATTTAACTCATCGGATAAGGATACTATCCATCCATTAAAAACCTTTCAACCAACCTGAAAGAAAAATAAATATAGTTTTAGAAAAAAGAATAGTAGCGTTTACTGAATTCCCTTTTGGCATCATTTCCAGTTAAGTGCTGTAACTGGCCTATATGACAATGAAATTAAGTTTGTTTTCAATATTATCGACTGACATTCACATAGCATTAACGATTATGAATAGTAAAAATCCCTCCAAACGTCGGCCTAACTGAACGAAAGATTAAGACATTAAAGCCTAATGGTTGTGGCATATATTATTAGGGCACGTGCGCAGTCAAAATTTGCTCTATTAACAGTTGAACTCACCACAGCAAATGTTCACGCACAAATGAAAAGTTCCCTGGTGATTACATGGTAGACACTGAGCATGTGCATAAGCCATCACATGTGAAATTTTTTACACATCTATCAACTATTAAAGCCATAAAAAATATTTTGTTAACGATTTTGAATAACAGTAATATTTGGCTCTTTGGTTATTCCAGCAGCTTTAGAAAATTACGTTTGTTTTGTTTTTTTAATTTTCTTTATTATTAACTATACCGTTAGGAGCGGCGTCTTTTGGTTTAGTATAATTAATATCACCGAAACACTTGGGCCCCGGTTCTTAGAAAATTCTTAAAGTAAGCACAAAGTCATGCTTCACTTTTGCTTACGTAAGAAACATTATAAAATACCGTCTCTAGAAAATTCTCAAGACCGTTCTTATGTAAGCAAAAGTCAAGTATGAGTCTTGGCACATTGTGACTGGTAAACTGAGACCATGATGCTCTCTAACGTCATAAAAACAATTTTGGTATACGAATTACGTCATAAATTGGTCGGCTGCTTCCCGGCAAATCAAATGGTCGATTTAGATGCATTTACATGACCCCTATATATAAAATGTGCCACAAGTTAAAAAAAACACAAGCACATGCAAAAAGACTGAATAATTGTGAGAGCGCCTGATCTTAAAGTAGCCCGTGTTTGTGTTGTTTACCGGTACTAATTTGCAAATAAATAAAATGGATAAAATGGTTTCAGGGCAGAAGCGAAATTTTCTATATTCTTCTCGAGAATAATAATTATGTTTCTAAAGGATTTTCTGTCTTTTAATTGTCTTTTTGGTATCAATAGATGAAGGAAATGCCGTTGAATAACTCTAAGATCAGCCATCTTGATTGAAACCGACAGGCTTAAGGTTGGTATACCTTGCTTGGGACTTGTGCTTAGGTTGACGATGTTTAAGAACGAAGTTGTGCTTAAGTTTTTTTCTTGGAACACATAATAACGTGCTTGTGCTTACACTGAAGTCTACTTAAAATCTAAGCACAAGAACGTTTTAAAGAATTTTCTGGGAACACAAAATAAGATAAGTTTACTTAAATGCAAAGTCTACTTAAAATCTAAGTACAAGAACGTGCTTAAGAATTTTCTAGGAATCGAGCCTTGGTTTAGGTAAGTACAGGATACCCGTAATATTTTCCATTGCTTTTTCAATTTCTTGATATAGCTTCCTTTAATGTTTCATAAAAAAAAATAATCTCGATTATCCAGACCTATCAATCAGCCAGAGAACGGCCTGTAGCCTGATTTAGAGCGACTAGTTTCAAACCAAGGGCACATAACCTATTCTAATAACCGCTTTTCATTTACCTTTTGTTTTATACTCTTTCTTCGGTCTACCAGAGTGATGGGATTTTGCCCGTATATTCCGAATCTTTTTTCCAAACGCCCAAAATTGTCCGACCGGGAATATGCCCAATAGGACATCAAGATATGGTGAATATTCAAAATTCCGAAATTAATATAGTTTACTGAGTGTATAACTACTACTCAACCAGATTATCGTCGATAATACGCTGGATTATTAGGTAATTAAGTGATCAACGTACCTTGATTAACTACTTAATCTGCCTTGATTGACTGACTTAATCCTTTGTCGGACAATTCATCAATCTAATCTTAAACAGAAGCCATTGTTTCCCCTTTGTCGGACTATTCATCAATCCATTATAATTTTAATCTTCGTGTTAACCTCGTTGTTTCTGCATTGTCAGATATTTTAATCGCATTGATGTGAGCCGACAATATGTATAAACTAGTCATAAAAGTCACATATTGTAAGAGTATATAAAGCCCAGATCAATAGACAGTCATTATAATGTCTGCGATATCACTTCGGCGGAAGCGAGCGTTAAATAAAGCTATTTCACACACACACATATCCAAAATATACAAGACAATGCTAGCACGCGGTTACAGCACTCGGAAAACTTCGGCAGATTCCGTTACTCTACATCTAGCTTCGGCTGTATGACGCTAAGTGATATGTACCTACGAACTTGCCGGTTTTAGAAAGAAGTTATCAAAATTGCGTCGTTTGAAGCGTGTTTAAAATTTTCAGAGCAAAGTTGTCCTTGTTTGAAGAAAATCTGATTAGGTACATATCACTTACCGTCATACAGCCGAGGCTAGATGTAGACTAACGGAATCTGCTGAGGTTTGCCGAGTGCTGAACCGGTATTAGAAATCTCGCAAGATGCGTGAAATTATGAAATGAATACGTGACTAAATTCACGCTTCTAATGTCGAAGAAAAGATTCTATAATAATGTCACTTTGCTATTAAATAAATTAAATATAAATGCATTAAAGCTGACTACAGTGTGAGTAAGACTTGTGGGTAAGAATTGCTTTATTGATACACTTTAAACTTTGCTTTTTTATAATATAGATTTATTAAAATGAACAAAACAACATCTTTTTTGGATAAAAATTAAATACAGCTGCTGATGTTTAAAAAGCGTCTGCTTGTGACCTAGTGTGTAAGAAAATTCTCAAATATCACCTGTTTTGTAAGTTCAAACAGTTTAACAAATACTAAATGATCTGGACTATCTTCCATTCAAGCATTCAATTGGCTGCGGTATTTGTGGCCTTACAGTGACAGTAATCTATTTATAGATCATTTTATTCTTGCTTTCAGAAATTAAGTTTTGTAGTTTTCTAAAAATATTCGTTTTTTAAAAAAATATGACAACCTATTTATAGCCTGGTAATTAGCCACGGTAGTGGGAAATTTCAGGCGTTTAGTAGGCCTAGGCTTTACATGTAGTAACAACTAACAATTTATTGTGGTCTAAAAACAAAGTAAAAGTAACGCATACACGATGCAGTGAAAAATGGCTGCTTCAACATTTAACGATTCCCAAAACATTAGTTTTATTATAGTTTATTGCCGTCGGCTAATTTCCACTGCTGTATAGTGTATTATTATCTATTTTTATGATATTTTTTTTTGGTATTTGTAGTTTTTGGCGATATTCCATAAACCACTATATCGACGATTTTTGGACACATGATATTGTAGTTGGGTCTGAAAATACCATATCGCGATAAATGACTATATCGAGAATATCGTACAGCTCTACGCTGCGTGCAGTATGTAGATGGAAAGTAGAGATTATAAGCTACAACTCAACTCAAAGTATTTTAAGGGCGTTGCAATGTCTTAGATTCGCGCTAACTATTCAAACTATTTCTCGGTGATACTTTAGTACCGGTCTCATTTTCCCCTAAAAACATAAATCGTCAACAGAAAGAAACGTTCACTTCGATGGATAGTAAGGATTGTCGGTCAAAGGGAGGGAATCACTGACCTCGGTTGATCTAAAAATAGTATCTGAATTTGTTTTGAGTCACTTTTTAGATTTATGACAAAAATTTATCATTTTTAAGCTGATTTCAAAAAAAGATATGTGCCCAAACTATGACTTGAATAGCAGCTTCAGATGTCTATTTAAAGATCATACCAAATTTATGTGGATCAGAGGTTGAAAAATAATATAAAATTAATTGCGAAGTTATCATAGGTTAGATATGGAAATGTGGCACGCCCTTAAAATCATTGTTTATTATTTACCTTCAATTCAAATGAGATTTTGTGATTTTGGGATATACTTTGAATATGTCCACAACAGGTTTTAAAATACAACAATTCGGACGTAAAAAGTAAATATTTACTTCAGTGCACTACCCACGCCGCTCCAAATATCATTTTATACCATCCCCCCAAAAAATCAGCCACGTTCCAGTCGCGATAGATGGTAGACCTGGATAATCGTGTCTTATAGGGAATTCCTTCTGACGTCATTAGTCATATCTAGATAGACGTCAATAATCCAGTGTGAATCTGCTGCCGGACATTGTTTACAGCGGATGACGTGAACGGTGTGTATACGTCATAATTTATTCAAGAACTGATGATCTAAGTCGGGGAAACCATCTTGTTTGCTATAAATAGTTTTTTTCTTTCCGTTTGTACCTCCATTATTACACAACAAACGGTCGGACTGTTATGTGTCCTCTGGATTATTTTACACATGGAACATATGTGCAAAGTCTTAATAAGATTGGTGTTGAAAAGTTAGTGCGTATCTTAGACTACTCAACGCCCTAGGCTTATATAAATATTGTGGTGTCATTGTCGATATATTTGGAGATATTTTGTTATGGTGGGACACCCAAAATTAAAACAACAAACATATTTTTTTTAGAAATGATTTGAAGTCATAGAGAATCTCCAACTTGTCTTTTTTGATATCAAAAAATATCAACACATATCGATAAAGTAAAAAAAAACAAGGCTCTGTCGCGGTTTTTTTACGTTTTTTTTTTACTTTATCGACGAGTGTTGATATTTTTTTATATCAAAAGAGACGAGTAGGAGATTTTATTTATCACCCAATCCTTTCTTACATGCACAAATAAATAAATACTGTAAAACATGAAATTATTGCGAGCATGAAATTATTGCGAAAATTGCGAGCGAGGCCCTCTCGCAATAATTTCATGTTCGCAATAATTTCGTGAAAATTCGTTAAAATGTCGGCCATATTGAATTACTCCCCCTTAATTACTCTTCACAAGAAAGAGTCCCAATAAGTACATTAGAATATGTATGAGCAGCCACTCCTATTCAGTGACATCTCCTTGTAAACGGTCACGATAAATTCCCCCGGTAAAAAT